TATAGAAATACACCTGAAAGCAGATAAAAAGGAGAGACGTTCACTTAACCTTTGCATTGTGTGTCTGTCTGTGCCACACTAAGCATGGACAACAGAAAGAGGAGACGAGAACTGTCTGAGGACCTGAGAACCAAAATTGTGGCAAAATATCAACAATCTCAAGGTTACAAGTCCATCTCCAGAGAACTAGATTTGCCTTTGTCCACAGTGCGCAACATTATCAAGAAGTTTGCAACCCATGGCACTGTAGCTAATCTCCCTGGTCGTGGACGGATGAGGAAAATTGATGAAAGATTGCAACGCAGAATAGTCCCGGATGGTGGATAAGCAGCCCCAAACATGTTCCAAAGACATTCAAGCTGTCCTGCAGGCTCAGGGAGCATCAGTGTCAGCGCGAAACTATCCGTCGACATTTAAATGAAATGAAACGCTATGGCAGGAGACCCAGGAGGACCCCACTGCTGACACAGACACATAAAAAAGCAAGACTACAGTTTGCCAAAATGTACTTGAGTAAGCCAAAAGCCTTCTGGGAAAACGTCTTGTGGACAGATGAGACCAAGATAGAGCTTTTCGGTAAAGCACATCATTCTACTGTTTACCGAAAACGGAATGAGGCCTACAAAGAACAAAACACAGTACCTACGGTAAAATATGGTGGAGGTTCAATGATGTTTTGGGGTTGTTTTGCTGCCTCTGGCACTGGGTGCCTTGACTGTGTGCAAGGCATCATGAAATCTGAGGATTACCAAAGGATTTTGGGTCGCACTGTAGGGCCCAGTGTCAGAAAGCTGGGTTTGCGTCCAAGATCCTGGGTCTTCCAGCAGGACAATGACCCCAAACATACGTCAAAAAGCACTCAGAAATGGATGGCAAAGAAGCGCTGGAGAGTTCTGAAGTGGCCAGCAATGAGCCCAGATCTAAATCCCATTGAACACCTGTGGAGAGATCTTAAAATTGCTGTTGGGAAAAGGTGTCCTTCCAATAAGAGAGACCTGGAGCTGTTTGCAAAGGAAGAGTGGTCCAAAATTCCGGGTGAGAGGTGTCAGAAGCTTATTGATGGTTATAGGAAGCGACTGATTTCAGTTATGTTTTCCCAAAGGGTGTGCAACCAAATATTAAGTTAAGGGTGCCAATACTTTTGTCCAGCCCATTTTTGGGGTTTTGTGTGACATTATGTCATATTTGCTTTTCTGCCTCTGTTTTATATTTGTTCCAATACATACAAAAGGGAATAAACATGTGTATAGCAAAACATGTGTTAATGCAATACTTTTTTGTGTGAAATACTTGATTTTCAGGAAAAATATCAAGGGTGCCAACAATTTCGGCCATGACTGTATATACATACATAAACATAGTTTATAATTTATATCAATGTTTAACCCCGCTGGTGCTGATATTAGGAAGAAAGAAGCCTTCTTCCTCACATCACAGCAGCTTCTCACCCATATTCTCTAGCTCTGGGCTGGAGAATCTGGGGACAGAGGTATTAAAGAGATGGCAAGTGAAATCTTGAGATCTCACCTTCATAAACTGGCCATTTTCTGTAAAAGTGAAAGACAGAAGGTTGTGTCCTGTGATGAGAAGTGAAGAAAATGTTCTCCACTCCTCACCTCAGCTTCATAAACTGTCACACCTGAGAGATCAGACATTATCTTCAGGATCTCAGCTTTTCTTTCTTAATCGGACAGCATTTAATGTCTCTATTTGACAAACCTAGAGATCTGACTCCAGTTCCCCCTACTGGCCATTTTTGATATTACTCATCTATGTCTTTGTTATATACAGATTTGATATATTTATATAATTTCAAGCCTATATTATTACGAGGTATTATTAGGTCCCTATATAGTTACCTAATCTCCCCCTTTCATATACTATTATGATCCATATAGTAATATGATTTTTATAGTAATGGGATCCACATATATATCCATTTCACCTCCCACTCATGGCCACAGATGTTTTGTTACTTTTGCTTCCAGGCCCTTAATGTGTATATATATATTGCTTACATATTTACTCCATATTGTATACTTTTGCCATTTTATGTCTTATTTAGTATTTTCCCTTGATTTTTTTTTTTAAATTCTGCTATTATTTTATTAGCCGCATTCTGATCATTGTTGTCCCTCTGTGTTTGTAATAAATGCTGAGTCAGAGCCTTTTATTTGTCATATATCACCAACATTTTGGAGCAGGTAAGGATTTTTCAATGATGTCATTCAAACAGAGTGTGTACCTGCGCATTGGAGTCATTAGTTTCACTGTGAGAAGCTCTAAAAGTGGCTAAATGTGTGTAAACATGGTTAAATGTGGCGAAACCTGCTATAGAAATCTAATTGCACAATAAAAAATGATCAGGGAAGGAAAAAAACGATCACTTCTGGGTGTAGAATTACTAATCATAGAAGTGTAAATGAGGCCTAAGTGTCAATTGGAAATCCCTCCCCCCCATTGTATATCTACTGCATGTCTGAAAAAATACTGCATGTTTTTTGGGGTTTTCTGTTATATTAGAAGCCCATTCAAAATAAACTGACTCCCTTAAAAGTGGTATTAAACCCAAAACGCATTATATTGCAGTTTGTCATTCCTTAGATTTGGTGGCTGCATTCATTTTGAAAGGTGTTGCCTTTCAAATGCTCTCTGAAGCCCTAACTGCCACTTATACTGTGGATGGGTGGCATTGCCAGGCTCTGCAACATAAATATATATTGCCTGGCACATGCACACTGGTGCAGCTGCTGGGTGCACTCTGCTCCTGTACCCAACTGCATTGATCGCTGTGTGATCACTTGATTACAATGTCAACAAAGCTGTTATGAATTAATTTCATTCATAACAGCTGTGCTTCCTATAGTGATCCTGTGATTGGCCCACAGCTATTACATGGTACCTGGGCTAGTCACAGCACCCTGTATCATGTGATTGGCTGTAGCCAATCACATTATGTCAACAGAACAGCTGTTATGAATTGAATACATTCATGACTGTTCAAATGACTGCTGTTACAATCACTGTAACAGCAATAACAGCGTAAAAAAAAAATCCCTGACCTGATCCCCCTCAGAGTAGTAAAGTGTCACTATGGTGACACTGAACCATGGAAAAAAAAATATAAATTTAATTTAGGTACAGTGTTGCATGACCAAACAATTGCCAGTTAAAGTAGCACAGTGCTGAATAGCTAAAAATGTCCAGGTCATGAAGGGGGTAAAACCTTCCAGTGGTCAAGTGGTTAAGATAATTCCTTGGGCTCCCCCTCAAGTCACCAGAACTAGTATCCCTATTGAAATATATCCCCACTGTTTTTGTTCTGGGGCAACCCAAAATGTGGAATTTTTCTTTTGCTTTCATCAGTAATGGCAAACAGTAAAAATAGGTTGAATCTCCTTAAAGTGGTTCTAAAGTCTCAAGGTTTTTTTACCTTCTTGGATTCTATTATTAATAATGATTTTTTTTTTTATTTGAGTATTGTTATTATTATTAATAATAATTGATTTCATTTTTTGCTGGGGTTAGGGGTTTATTATTATTTATCATGATTTTTTTTTATTTATATATTACTATTATTTTAAAAAATTTTATTTGAGCAGAAAAACGTGCAAAAAGGGCATTAACCACTTGCCTACCGGGCACTTCTACCCCCTTCCTGCCCAGGCCAATTTTCAGCTTCAAGCGCTGTCGCACTTTGACCATTGCGCGGTCATGCAACATTGTACTCATATGACATTTTTATCATTTTTTTCACACAAATAGAGATTTCTTTTGGTGGTAATCGCCGCTGGGTGTTTTATTTTTTGCGCTATAAACAAAAAAAAGAGCAAAAAATGTGAAAAAAAAAGTTTTTCTTTGTATCTATTATAAAATTTTGCAAACAGGTAATTTTTCTCCTTCACTGATGTGCATTGATGAGGCTGCACTGATAGGCACGGATAGGCAGCACTGATGAGGTGGCACGGATAGGCAGCACTGATGGGCACTGATAGGCGGCATTGATAGGTGGCACTGATGGGCGGCACTTGTAGGCAGCACTGATGGGTGGCACTGCTGGGTACATATGGTTGGCACTGCAGGGCAAAGGTGGGTGGCACTGCTGAGTGAAACAGGTGGGTGGCACTGCAGGGCACAGGTGGGCACTGATTCAGTGCCGATCCCTTTGCTGACAACTGCCGGTTCTTGGCAGTACTTTCCTCACGCTGTGACAGTGTGAGGAAAGTGAAGCCGAAAACCGGCAACTGTATTTACCCGGTGATCACCGTGTCATTGGACACAGCTGATCACATGGTAAAAGGCCATCGTGATTGGCTGTTTACCGTACCCCATGATCGCTGTGTCCTACCGGCGCCGCGGGTTCAGGAATGACGTCAATGGATTCCACAACCGTGCTGTAACCTTCCTTCGGCTATACCGTGGTTGGGAACTGGTCAAAAAGCATGCAAAAACGCAGCGATCAAACATTTATATTCTTTAATATGAGGATAAAAACCAGCCATAAACACGCAAATCTGCCCTGTTTGAGCTACAAAAGTAGTTCCAAAACTTTTTTGAGCTTCAGGCGTTCTTCACGCGCTTAGAGTGGAGATGTGAACCATCTCCATGGAGTAATATTGATTTTTTTTCCCCCCGCCTGAGCGCCTTGGAGCTAAAAAACGCTGAGGTGTGAATGGGGCCTAAAGCCAGTGCTACAATGCAGAAGTCTTTTATCATGGTCGCAGGACCCGGACAAACACTCAATGTCCCCATTTCCCCCTCTGTGATTGGCTGACTAGATGAGTGAGTGCATTGTGTGTGGAGCCGCCAGCAGCCAGACGTGTCGTTGTAGAAGGGAGAGGTTAGGTGTGACGCGGGTGTCTGTCGGCAGGGGGAGCTCGTGGGATGGCGCGCTGCCCTGTGGCTGGCCTAGGCTGTGTACGTCGCTGTGGATATCGTGTGTGGAGGTGTTGCATCATCTTCTATGGTAAACACGGAGGATTAAACGTTTTCCACACAGAATGGAGGAAGGCGAAGGCGCCGGGCCGCTGAGGTGGGTTTGCAGTGTCCGGTAGGTATATGTGGTGTGGAGGAGGCCTGTGCGGCCTGTAGGAGCGGGGCTGGAGTAGTACGTGGAGGGAGGGGGGCTCCTGTATACTGGGCCTCCTTTGTGTCGGCGCTCTGTGTATACAATGGACATTGGTGAGTTTCGTGTGAGGAGAGGAGAGGGGAGGGGGAGCCGTTGTGAGCGGGGACGAGTATCGGGGAGGGGGTCCATGCTGGTCCTGTGTGGTGATAGCAGGGCCCCCTCGTCACCCCCCTCTAGCGGCTGGGAGTAGTCAGGCCGGTTAGTCGTGTGTTGCTGCTGGTGTGACAGGTGGTGAGTCAGCTGTGAGTGTACGGATCATGCTCAGACATGCACTGTGTGTGCCAGGGATCTAGCCCCGACTTGTCTGCTCTCACACGTTATATAGAGGGAGCCCAGCTCCACAGCCTCAGCACTTTACATGTCAAGGTAAGAATAGTCTTCTCCTGCTGTCCAATACCCCTCTCCTCTCTTTGATCCTCCTGATCACTGATCTACATGTCATCAACACTGCCTGTCAAGCAGTAATCCACTCATGTCTTCTTTTGTGTTTGTTTACATGTGTTCTCACAGAGAATCCTCCTTCCATTACAGGGAAATGTGCAATGTATCATCTTCCAGTACCAACTGTATAGAACACTCTTCTATCATGGGCTCAGACAAAGAAACACTGGTGAGTGAGTGCTCTAGATCTTCTTTATTCCATTTACTGTTGTTGTCATCAGCCTGTCATTAAGACTGTTTTCTTCCAACTGGTTACTATTTCAGGTTAAACCAAATCCACTTCTGTTGCATCTGTTAAAATCTGCCGGTGCCCAGAAGGATACCTTTACAATGAAAGAGGTGCGCGGATGATGTGTTTGCGTAAGATTGTATGCAATCTGTATTAGCCGTGCTTTGTTTTCTGATATAATATAGTTCATTGCATTGTCTCCATACTTGCGCTGTAGGTTATTTACCATCTTGGTCAGTACATTATGGCCAAGCAGTTGTATGACGAGAAGCAACAGCATATTGTCCACTGCTCTAATGATCCTCTGGGAGAACTATTTGGGGTACAGAACTTCTCTGTAAAAGAACCAAGGTAATATGAATACAGTGTGGATGTGAGATTGTGACGTTCTAGAAGGGTTTATTTTATGTAAAGGTTACCACATGTGCACACACTGGTTTAATGTCCTGCTTTTTTTTTTTTTTCCTCTGTAACTTTTACTTCTTTTCCTTTTAAAAAATTTAAAAACACGTCTATCTCTTTATTTCCTATTTAAGCTGGATTAAGACACAGAATATGATTCTGGTGTATTCTGAAACTTTTACAGGGAGAGGGGGGCAGTTTTTCTGCTTTTTTATTCTTTACTCTCTCATCATTCTTTTCTTCACTGGCTTGCAACATCCTGCATACCATTCCCTACAGCAACTGGCTGACTTGCAAAAATAACCCTCTTCTTTTTCCATTGTCCCAAAAAACTCTTTACTCTTTCCTTCAAAGTCCTTATATATCACAGTGCCTGAAGCAGAAATGTTTTTTTTTTTTCTTGACCACAGCAGCCTTAGTTTAGCCATACACATTAGGAATTCTATCAATCGATTCCCCCATGCATGCTTAATAGCGATGATGGAGGAATAATCCCTGCTAGCTAGTGTGTTCTGACAGCTGCTGCTCTTGCTGCTGTCATAATACCTGAACTGTCTGGCTGCAGTCACTGTTCAGCTGAGAAATTTTTAGTTGGTTTATTAGGTTTTGAGATCAAAGTTGGTCAAACTGACAGACACCCACGGCTGGAATTTGTGCCAATTCAGCAAGAATCGGCCAATATTTGAGCCATGTATGTCCAGCATACGTTAGTCCTTCCTGTACAAAATGGGGGCATGAAAGTGATATTCTATCGGGTGTGGACATTCATTTTTTAAAAAACTGCTTGTCCAGGGACTAAATCGGTGCCCCAATCTACTTGTCCCTCATGACAATCTACTTTTGTCCTGATAAAAAAATAAATACTTTTTAACCAAAACCGTATTTAAATCTGCTTTAAGTAATGTCTGGGGCTTTAAAAAGCAAAAAGGCTTTATCTCCTTGTCACCTCCCTGCCTGTCACCAGCACCACACCCGGAGGCTAGCAGGAAGGGGTGAGACCTTGCAGTGCAATGAGCATTAATTGGGTGCTCCTTAGGAATGGGGAGTGTCAGGCTTATCCTTTATCCCTTTTGCTGCCAGAGCTGTTTTTTGCACACATGTTTAAAAAAATAATAATTTAAGGCGTGAAGATTACAAAAAAAAAACTCCTAAACATTTATATATTTTCTGAAATCAGAGACTCTAGAGCAGGGGTGTCAAACTGGCAGCCTTCCAGCTGTTGCGAAACTATAAGTCCCATCTTGCCTCTGCCTTTGGGAGTCATGCTTGTAACTGTCAGTCTTGCAATGCCTCATGGGACTTGTAGTTTGGCAACAGCTGTAGGGCTGCCAGTTTGACAAGAGTGCCATAGAGAATAAAATAGTGGTTGTTCCAATTTTTTATGTCACACGATATTATCACAAAGGTCCAGGAAACGCAAGATATCAGTAAAAAATAAACTTAAGTTAATTTTAGCGCACAAAAAGCAATACATTTTATCCATTTTTTTTTTTTTTTTTAAATATAAAAGACGAGGTTGCATAGAGTAAATAGATATCCAACATGTCAAACCTTAAATTTGTGTGCGCTCATGAAATGCCAGCAAACTTTAGTACCCTATATTTTCTATAGGTGACGCTTTTAAAGCCTTTTCTAGGTAATCAGTTTAGCATTACAGAGGAGGTCTGTTGCTAGAATTATTGCTCACATTCTGACGTGCGTGGTGATATGCATTTGTTGTTTTCATGCGTAGGGATTCCCAGTGCATGCTTTTACATTTGTATGTGCGTACATATATTGGGGTGCAGGGCCTTGAAACATTTTGGGGGGTTATATGCTTTGGTGAAACTATTTTTTAAAAAATATAATTTACCTTTTTTTTTCCCCATCACATAGGGGATAAAGTCCTTTTTTATGTGATGATTTTTTTGGGGACAGGTTCTCTTTTTTTGAGATGTCCAGGGTCTAAAAGAACCTGCATGTCTCCCCTGTACTACACTGGATGTAATGCAGTGCACATCGCACTGCATTACATTCTTTCCTGGCCTCGATTGCCGGGAAATCTGTCAACGGGGACCCGGAAGTGATGTCACATCACTTCTGGATCAAGACAAGAAGGGGAGGGGAGTGGATGTGTCCACTCTCCTCCCTGCCCTATTCCCGCCCGCATCCACTAACTGGTTCCAGGCCTGTAGATGGGCAATCTGAGCCCAGGAGACAATACAGGCAGGGGGGGTGGAGGCTGGCCACATAGTGGGCTGTGTGGAAGCAATCAGTGGCAGCGCTGCCGCTAGAATGCTTACACCTGACAGATGAGCCTTGCTGCTTGCCAACAGAAGGGCTAATGGTGAAAAAAAAAAAAAAAAAACCTGCCCAGAACTACATATCCCAAGCGTCGGGCGATATGAATTGAACATCCCTGTAGATGACAAAACAAATTAAGACATTTTGATATATAAGGCCCAGTGTGCATTGTTTTGTGTTTGTAAATATGCGTATACAGTTGGTCACGTTACACTTGATTAAAACTTGGCATGTTACTGAACAAACTACAAATCCAGGAGCCATTGCACCAATCAATGCATGCTGAACACAAGCTGTGTTGCTCAAAATCAGGTTTGACCAAATGTGAAGTTGCTACCCACAGAGTTTATAACGCTGGTCTTTTTGCTCATATCAGTCTATATTTGGTCATAAATGTTAAAATTTGATTACAGATTTTCCTTTAGATTTAACATCCGATGTCTAAAGCAAGGCCCATTTAACCCTGTTATTGCTGTCATTGTAGAAACTACGTTGGTGACTTTAGGGGACTTTACACTTTAGTGTTGGAAGTAGCCACTGCTGCAATCCTTTGCCAAGTTTCCTGGGCTCCTCGAGCCCATCAGCGGACCCAGAACTAGCATGGTGGGTGCCATTGGCTAGAGGGGAGGGAGATCAGCCAACATCTATTCAATGATCTCCCCTTCCTGTTGCTGAGCCGAAAGTGATGTGTAAAACATCACTTCTGGGTCCTGGTGTCACTGTCCCAAGTATGGCTGGGGAAAATATCTAATCTAATGAAGTGCAATCTGCATTCTATCAGATTAATTGGTGGGTAGGTGAGGCGTCAGGGGGTCTTTTAGACCCCGGATGTCTCATTAAAGAGAACCAGTCACCAAAAAATGCATCACATAGGGGACTTTTTGTCCCTATGCGATAAAAAAAAAAAAAGTGTTTCATGTTAAAAAAAAAAAAGTCTAATAAATGTTTTTTGACCTCTCACTCTCTCATACATGCACATACATATGTATATACATGTGTTGGGAGGGGCACAAACAAAAATATTGATTGTGCTATACATGTTGCATATCACTGTGCATGTCGGTGTGGGATCAATAATTCTAGATTCATTATTCATTGTTAACATTAAACTGAAGGACCGGTAAGGGCTTTTAAAGCATCACCTGTGGGAAAATATAGGGTACTGAATTTTGTTGCTGTTTCGTAAGTGCACTAAATTTGTGTTCAGTCTGAGTTTATTGAAAGTTTTTCAAATACGGAAGAAGCAAAGACACACAGCAAACAAATACCAAGTCAGTCTTATTACAACCAAAAGAAGGGTATTATTTTGCAAACTAGAACATAGAAAGTGTGACATGTTGGGTATTTATTTACTTGCCCAGCTCCTCTTTTACATTTTACCAAATATTGGGTAATTTATTGCGTTTGTGTGCCCTAAAGTTAACTTTAGTGTATTGTTTACTGAAATTTTGTGTTTCCTAAACCATTGCACTAATATTATGTGACATAAAAATTTGTATCTACCACTGTTATCCTCTAGGGTGTCTGCATTTAGAAAATATATAATGTTTTGTGGGTTTTATGTAACGACTCTGGCAGCAAAAGGGTTAAAGGGGCCACCTTCCTACTCCAAGTGTTCTGGTGCATTGTGTTAAGACGGCTCATTCATAAAGAATGTATTGGCAACACTGGTAAAATGGCATGCAGTGATTTGCGGGTCTGTCAGCACTTGCTACTGTATGTTTGTCCATTGGAGTGCCATTCACAACAAATGGCCCTGCACAGACTAGTGTGGTACTTCATGGTAAAGTGCTGCATTTTACTTCATGTTAATGTAATAAAATATAGGAGTTAAGCCAGCCCAACAGTCCAATAAATTAATATCCAGTAAAGGTGACCCTCACACAACCTAGTTTTTGGTAAATCTAATGGAGATTGTGCAAACTGATTTTAACATTGGTGACCTGCATAATATGGATAAAAATGTGTTATGTCGATACACATTTACTGTCAGAAAGGTACTCTCAGTGCTCCTCTGGCTTTTGTCTTATTGGAAAACTGGAGTGAAGTGAAGAGACAAAGGTAGGTCAGTGAACCTGGACCAATGTATTGTCTAAATAATAAGTTATGTAACCTCTTATGTTATGTAATGTTTAATGAAGCGTTATCTGTAGAAATTTACACAGTCACTTTGACAGAAATTTGTTCTGTTTGTGACTACTCCAATAAGTGAGGATGGGGAAAAAAGACTTGTATGAGATGTGTCTGAAAAGTCATTATGTTGCTTGTAGAAACCAGTGAGTGAGAGTGCTTTGGCCACATGGATACTACATTTCAGAAATAAATTTGAGACAGTTGATATATTTCAGGTCAGTTTTGCAGTGTTTTTTCCAAATGCCTTCTGGTCACTTTAGGCGTAAGGTATAATGTTTGTAAAGCTGTGTTACAATTAAACATGTTTGTCATGGTGGATTCCTGTGGTTGGCCAAGGTGGGGAGGCAGGCAGATGTCACAATTTTAACCTCAGCCAACCAGGGGAAGCCATGTATTACTTAACCACTTGCCCTTCCTGAGGATTTACCCCCCTTCCTTACCAGGCCATTTTTTGCGTTACTTTAACTGACAATTGTGCGGTCATGCAATGCTGCACCCAAATTAAATTTGTCAGTTTCCCCCCAAATTGAGCTTTCTTTCGATGGTATATGATCGCCTGTGCGTTTTTTTTTTTTTTTTTGTTTTGTTTTTTTGCGCTATAGCAAAAAAAAAAAAAAAACGACAATTTTGAGAAAATAAAACAATATTTTTGAATTTAAAAAATCAAATTCCATCATAAATTTAGGCCACAATGTATTCTGCTACACATCTTTGCAAAAAAAAAAAAAAAAAAATCCCAATACGTGTAAATTAATTGGTTTTACATGAAAGTTCTAGCGTTTACAAATGGCGGTATATATTCTGTGGTGTGTGGGGTTTTTTTTTTTTTCTGTTACTAGAAATGGCGGTGATCAGCAACTTATTGCGGGACTGCAGTGGGCATTCTGACACTGGGGGGAACTGACTTTGTGTCACTGACATCCCCAGTGACACCAGTACAGTGAACAGTGCTTAAAAAAAAAAAAAGCACTGGCACTGTATTAATGGCACTAGGCAGGAAGGGGTTAACATGAGGGGCGATCAAAGGGTTAACTGTGCTGTTTCACCATGTCCTGTGTCCGTGTGCTTCACTATAATCTCATTGCTTTGCATGGCTATGCTGTGCACAGCCATCCAAAGCAGTGTGCACAAGCCGACAGGGAGGAGAACTGTTTTGTTTACAAACAGTTCTCCTCCTTGTCCGATATCCTCAGCAGTCACACGGTGCCGACGAGTAATCACCGGCCGGGACCCAGTGATTGACAGCCGTCCCCAACCTGGAAATGCAAAATCTCGTGTGTGTATATATACGTGATTTTGCGCACCCGTGCCACACTGTAGCAGTATTTCCGATATAGGGTGGTTGGGAAGCGGTTAAAAAAAGAAAACACAAGGCTTCTTCTGAATGGTGGAGGCGCATTGAGGCTGAGTTGATTTCCTCACGATAGCAGATGAGAAATCACTCATAGTGCTGTAGAACATGGCGCTGCATGTTGTATAGGCTAATGCTACAACAGTATGTTACATAGTTAGTCTGGCTGAAAAAGGACAAAAGTCCATCCAGTTCAACCAAAAAACAAGTTACAATCCTATACCCACTGTTGATCCAGAGGAAAGCAAAAAAAAAAATCCCAGAAAAGCATGATCTAATTTGCTCCTGCAGGGGAATAAATTCCTTCCTAATCTCCCGAGAGGCAATCTAACGCTCCCTGGATCAACTTTACCTATAAATGTTAGTATCCAGTTATATTCTGTGTATGTAGGAAAGAATCCACTAAGCTGGCTAGAACCAACTCTTGAGGGAGTCTATTCCACATATTCACAGCCTAGTGGTCATCTAGGAAACCGATGGGGATAAGGCACTTCTCAGGTACTTGTAACCCTAAAACGGACTCCAGACCTCTCCTCAGGACCCTCACAGCGAAAAGGACAGCTCCCCGACAATACCAGTCTGAGCTTTTGAAAAACACCAGATGAAAATAGAAGAAAACAATTCTAAAAAAGAATGCAAAAACACATGCAGCCTTCACATCTAAGAATTGCTTTTTTCTGGTGGCTTATTCATGGAGCCACTATAAGGTGGATATCCAGTATTGCTAAGTTGCTGTGGAGATACAGGCATAGTCAGGCTCTCTTGCTGAGAGTCTGTGACAGCCCCTTAGTTGTATTAACCCCCAGTGCATCAAAAGGTTGTGGGTGAGGGAGTCATGAATGTAGAAAGATTTCTATTACCAGAAAAAGAATCGGCACAAGGGATGTATCCTACTGACTCTGTAAGTTATGTTCCTGATTGTGCTGATTTTTTTTTTTCTTTTAATTGCACTTGGACTTTAAAGGATTCATGCAAGATGCTTCAAGCTTGCTGAAAACTTTACAAAAGCTTTCTGAACATTTCATAAAAGATTGCTGTTCACACTATTTATACACGCTAAAGCTAAACTTGGCCATACAATGTAAAGCAATGCACCTGCTTTTCAGTACACCTCGACTTACAAATGTGAATGCTCTGTGTATTGTGGTTCATTGCATTGGTCATAAATAGCGCAGGTATGTTTTCTCATGTGTTTAGCCTTGTTAAGGGTCCATTTAAAGTAAATTGCATGCCTTAGCACAATGTGCAGTAACATGCACATACAGTTGTGTTCAAAATAATAGCAGTGTGTTGAAAAAAGTGAATAAAGCTCAAAATTCTTCTAATAGCTTTTATTTCCATACACACAAATGCATTGGGAACACTACACATTCTATTCCAAATCAAAAGATGAAGAAAAATATATCAAATTTGTGTTGTTCCTCTAAAAAAAAGTAAGAAAAGTGAATATTAGACTGTTCAAAAAAACAGCAGTGTTTGTATTCTTCTTTACAAACTCAAACATTCACTATATAAACTGAAAAATGTTTGAAGATTTTGCTTTCCTTTGAATCACTTAATGAATATTTAGTTGTATAAGCACTGTTTCTGAGAACTGCTGTACATCTGTGTTGCATGGAGTCAACCAACTTCTGGCACCTGTGAACAGGTATTCCAGCCCAGGATGATTGGACTACATTCCACAGTTCTTCTCTATTTCTTGGTTTTGCCTCAGAAACTGCATTTTTGATGTCACCCCACAAGTTTTCTATTGGATTAAGATCCGGGGATTGGGCTGGCCACTCCATAACGTCAATCTTGTTGGTCTGGAACCAAGATGTTGCACGTTTTCTGGTGTGTTTGGGGTCGTTGTCTTGTTGGAACACCCATTTCAAGGACATTTCCTCTTCAGCATAAGGCAGCATGACCTCTTCAAGTATTCTGATGTATTCAAACTGATCCATGATCCCTGGTATGCGATAAATAGGCCCAGCACCGTAGTATGAGAAACATCCCCATATCATGATGCTTGCGCAACCATGCCTCACTGTCTTCACAGTGTACTGTGGCTTGAATTCAGTGTTTGGGGGTCGTCTGACAAACTGTCTCCGGCCACTAAACCCAAAAAGAACAATCTTTCATCAGTCCACAAAATGTTGCGCCATTTCTCTTTAGGCCAGTCAATGTGCTCTTTGGTAAATTGTAACCTCTTCAGCACGTCTTTTTTTCAACAGTGGGACTTTGCGGGGGCTTCTTGCAGATAGCTTGGCTTCACATAGGCGTCTTCTAATTGTAACAGTACTCACAGGTAACTTTAGACCTTCTTTGATCTTCCTGGAGCTGATTGTTGGCTGAGTCCTTGCCATTTTGGCTATTCTTCTATCCATTCGAATGGTAGTTTTTGGCTTTCTTCCACATCTTTCAGGTTTTGGTTGCCATTTTAAAGCATTTGCAATCATTTTAGCTGAGCAGCCTATCATTTTCTGCACTTCTTTATATGTTTTCCCCTCTCCAATCAACTTTTTAATCAAGGCACGCTGTTCTTCTGAACAATGTCTGGAACGACCCATTTTCCTTAGAATTTCAGAGAGTAATGCACTGTAACCAGCATGTACAACATTTGCTGCCTTGCTTCCTTAAATAAGGGCAATAATTGCCACCTGGTTTTCAAAGAATGAATGACCTCACTAATAGAACTCCACACTGCTATTATTTTGAACATGCCCCTTTCAATTAGTGATTCAATTACACAGAATCAGCAGCATGCATGTCATGACTGTTGGATTTCTATTACTCTACTACACCTGCTAGTAAATTATTTGCCATGTAGAAATATCATTTCTACCAAAAACAGTGATTGATCAGGTTAGTGATGTCTGACTGCTATTATTTTGAACACAACTGTTTATCTGAATAGGGCCTAATGGAAATGTACAAAGAGAAAAAATAAATGCTGACCTTCTGAAAATTCCAGCTACTTCTGTCTTCATAAATTCATGGGTTGCTGACTAGCAAACAGCCTTTAATAAAATCAGTGGGAATTCAGAACACATGATCTGAATTTGTAAAGATTTAATAGTATTAGACCAATATTACAAAAGATAAACTAGAAATTTTAGAATGAGCTGTCTGTGCATTGTGTATTTTGTCCAATACAAGCTTCCTTTAGGAAAAGAAAGTCTTGACTCCACCTTTCTGACACATTTGATTTTGTCAGTCAGGACAGTGGAATACTGTAACTTGCAATTAGAATGGACATTACTTGTTCTGTTATGCGTAATTAACAAAGCATTTCCCGAAAAAAGGGCAATGTCCAAATGTATAGAAAGATGTGCAGAATTTACACAGACATTGGGCCTTATGTTAAGTGTCTAAAGAAAGGAGTTCTTTTTTGTCTAGAACAGTAAGTCTTCTTCTCTATGGCACACACGTTGTGATAAGGAGCATCTGATTGCTAGGGGCAGCAGAGATTTGTTCTTCTTTTTTTTTTTTTTTTCATTCAATTTCATTCTTCCTTCATGCTGTTTAGTAAATTTATAGAAATATGTGTCTCTACAGTTTCCACCTAACAAAAATGAATCACTTTTTAAAAGTTTCCTGTTGCACAATCAATAATTTAAAAGTTTTGGAGAGAGGAGGAGTAAGATATATATTAAAGGCTATTTTCAAAGCGTACGGATTTACAATTTTGTCTTAAAAACCGAATCTGTGACAACAAAGCTTGTTAAGTCTGAGATTTATTACATGTTATTGCTGGAAGAATTTGACTCCATATTGTAAACCTAGATCTACAAAACAAATATTGCAGAAATGAACAAATGAGTTTCTAGTATATGTGCAGGTATGAGTATGTACAGAACTAAAATATCATCTCACACTTTCTTCCTTTAGGAGGTTGTATGCAATGATTTCGAAAAATCTAGTAACTGCTGATTCACAAGGTAAGTTATTCAAATATATGTACTTTTAATATTAGTCTAGCTTACAAGACTCTACTTTCATTCTTTCTGTATTTATACCAATTCAACTCTCACATCTGTACACCCCTTATGGACCAGAGCAATTTTTAAGTTTCTGCTATGGACCTTTGTTATTAAACTGTAAGTTCACTTTTTCAGGGGGGTTTTCAGTGAATCCCTACTATGCAATTCTGTATCCAATGAATAGTATGTATCATAGTGTCTGCTGTTGGAAATGGTTCTCCTATTCCAGATGAAGATGTTTTGGGGCTTCTCCAGAAACATCATTGCCCCATCATATCCCACCATACCTCCTAGTCCTGCTGCGGGTTGTCCTGAATGTCACTATTGCGCCCCCAAGTGGCTACTCTTGGCTATTCAAAATTCATGTGTGGGCTGTGCATCCTCTCCCAGCTCCAGCTAACCTTAGTAGTGACCGCTCTGGGCCATTGAAAGTCAGCGTGTGCTCCTTGAGCTCAGTGCACTGCGCACATGTATAGTTTGAACAGCCTGGAGTGATCATTAAGGTTAGCTAGAGCCTAGGCGTGGACACACTGCATGCTCACAAGCAGCTGCTAGGGCCCGTGCTGTGGACAAAAGAATGGGGGGGGGGCAGTGCTTTTTTTGTGGAGAGGAGCTAAAACAGCTGCATCTGAAATGGGAGGATCTTTGCTGTTTCCAACAGAAGGAGCTATGGTATGTACTATTTTTTTTGTATGTTGTATTGAGCAATTTCCGGAAAATCTTCCTGATAGGTGAATTTACAATTTAAACAAAGTAATATGTATATTGTTTTTTTTAAGGACAATCTGATTGCAAGACAATATAATTTGCAATCCTTAGGCAAAAAAGTAGCAAAACTGGAAAAAGGGCCCTTTTTTTTTCCTGACCAATACTAGTTTAACAACTTGCCCTTTGGAAGATTTACCCCCCTTGCTGACCAGGCCAACGCTATTTCAACTGGTAATTGCGTGGTCATGCAACGCTGTACCCAAAGGAAATTTATGTCCTTTTTTCACACAAATAGAGCTTTCTTTTAGTGGTATTTGATCATCAATAAGTTTTTTTATTTTTTGTGATATGAACAAAAAAAAGACCAAATATTTTGAAAAAAAAAAAAAGATATTTTCTACTTTCAGTTACAAAATAAATCCAATAAACTCAAAGTTAGACATAAATTTAGGCCAAAATGTATTCTTTTAAATGTCTTTGGTAAGGAAAAGAAAAAAATCCCAATACGTATTAGTAATTGGTTTGTGTGAAAGTTATAGCATCTACAGACTATGGTATAAAGATTGGAATTTACGCAGCTTTTAGTTTCTGACTGCCTATCACATCCCCCCCTCATGACTCCTTTTTGGAAGTAGACACCCCAAACTATTTGCTGAGAGGCATGTTGAGTCCATGGAAGATTTTATTTTTTTGACAAATGTTTCAAAAATTATTATTATTATTTTTTTTTTGTCTTACACAAAGTTGTGACTGAAATGATATATTGCTTATGTATGACATGGCTAAATGTGGAAAAACACATTCTGCTACTTCTCCTGAGTATGGTGATACCACATGTAAGAGACCTTTTGGCAGCCTATCCACATACAGGCCCCTAAAATCCATGACCACTTTCAGCCTTTCGAAGGGCATATTTCCTTTATATCACTTCCTCACTACCTATCACAGTTTCGGAGGCCCTAAAATGTCAGGATAGTACAAACACCCCCCAAATGACCCCTTTTTGGAAAGTAGATAATCCAAGAAATTTGATAAAAGGTATGGTGAGTATTTTGCAGATATCATTTTTGTCACATGGTTTTGAAAAAAAGAGGAAAGAAAAAATAAATTTTTGTCTTCTTTCTTAATTTTCCAAAAACTTGTGGCAACAAATGAGATCTACAAAATACCATGCCCCTTAGCAAATACCTTTTGAATGTCTACTTTCCAAAAAGGGGTCATTTGAGAGGGGGGGGGGGGGTGCTTCTATTATCCTGGCATTTCAGGGCCAACATTAGAAACTTATGCCACACATCACTCACTCTTCTAACCACTTGAAGAACAAGCCTTTTCTGACACTTTTTTTGCTTACATGAAAACACATTTTTTTGTTGCTAAAAAACTACTTTGAACCCCTAAACATTTTATATATTTTTTTTAAGCAATGGCCCTAGAGAATACAATGGTGGGTGCCAAATTGTTTGATAAAATATAAAAGATGATGTTGCGCTGAATAAATAGATACCAAACATGACATGCTTGCTTTAAAATTGCACATGCCCGTGCAACGGTGACAAACTACGTACATTTTTAATATCATTAGGCAATGCTTAAAAAGTGTCACCACTTTATATTTACACAGGAGGTCTAGTGCTAGAATTAATGCCCTTGATCTGATGTTCGAAGTAATACCTCACATGCATGGTGCAATCTCTGTTTACATACCGACACAGGACCAATGCTCGCGTTCTCTTTTGCGCATGCGAAGGGGGTGCGGCGGGGGTGATGTGTGTGTTGGTTGTTGAGGTTTTTTTTTCGTTTTTTTTTAAACTGTCCCTTTTTGTTTTTTATCACTAATTGTTATCACAGGGAATATAAATATCCCCTATGATAACTTATGGGCAATGACGGGTATTCTTTTCTGAGAAATCTGGGGTGTATTAGACTCTAGATCAGCGGTTCTCAACCTGTGGGTCGTGACCCCTTTGGGGGTCAAACGACCCTTTCACAGGGGTTGCCTAAGACCATCGGAAAACACATTTACGATGGTCTTAGGAACGAGACACCGCTTCTCTATCCGTCTCCAGGCGGGTCCGCCTACATGCAGATAAGCCCACATATGAGTACCCGGCGTGATGACATCATCACGCCAACCCCATCACATACACCCTGTACAAATACAGGTGTATGTGACAGGGTTGGCGCCATAATGTACTTATGTGGACCAGTCACATATGTATAAAGAGCAGCTTCTGTGTTGAAAGCAGCTGCTGTGTTGAAAGCAGCTACTCAGTAGCAGTACTGGAGGTAAAACGACACTTCATGAATTATAATTACAGGGTAAATGTAAAATCATGTACTGTAAAATCATCAACTGCTACATAAAATGTAGTTTATTGTTGTTATATTAGGACTGTTACTCATGCTACACCATGCTTCAAGACAAAATTTAATTTATTTGTAATTAGAAATAAATCTTTCACAATATATAATTACATATTGTTTTTGTGATTAATCACTATGCTTTAATTATGTTCAATTTGTAACAATGAAAATACATCCTGCATATCAGATATTAACATTACGATTCATAATAGTAGCAAAATTACAGTTATGAAGTAGCAACGAAAATAAATTTTAATGGTTGGGGGTCACCACAACATGAGGAATTGTATTAAAGGGTCACGGCATTAGGAAGGTTGAGAACCACTGCTCTAGATCTTTCCTCTGCCATTAATGCATCTGATCACACCAAGATTGGTGTAATCCGATGCTTTCCCAATTTAAAAATGGCGCTGTTTATATCCAGCAAAATGGAAATGATGAAATGTTCGTAACTTCCAGTTTCTTAGATCATAGAGATGATTGGAGCCATTCTGGTCTCTGATTAGCTCTATGGTCAGCTGGTGGAACTTCCGGCTGCATTCTCGGATTCCTCTGTGAGACGGAAGAGCCCGAGAAATCCTTGGAAGGTGGTGGCAGGGGAGGGGGGGTGTCCCTTCCTACTACTACTTGTAAAAACGATCCAGCAGCTAATTAGCTGCTAGGATTGCATTTACATGAAAGCTGACAACCAGTTGAAAAAAAAACTATACTGGGGTGATGACTGTAGCTGCAGGCATCATCCCTGTATAACCACTCAAAGTCTAGCGACGTACCAGTATGTTGCTGGTCCTTGTTGGACATATATGTAATGGCAGAGAACATAGGCATATGATGAATTGGGTCTGTGGACTGCTATGACTGCAATTCATTCTTTTTTGTAATGCCCATGTTCAAGGTTAGGCCCAAAAAAGTTTTAAATTCAGAAACTGTGATAGATTCCATGTGAATTGTCTGTCCAGAGCTGAATTTAGGTGGACAGTGACATATTATGTGTATAAATTGCTGTGGCCCACAATCAATTAATTAATACAAATCTTACGTGAAAAACAGCGGAGGGGCTAAACACTAGCGCTGGCAGCAAACGAGGCCAATCCTGCTAAAACTGCATTTTTGGAGATACTATACAAAGGAGGCACTAATATAGTTCGTGATCAATATATTGATATGTACAAACACTATGCTAGTAATGGCGGTGATCAGTGACCTATAGCGTGAGTTCGATTAGTGTGCAGGCAATTGCATAGCGATCACATAATCACCAGGTCCTGTTCACTGGGATCTTCATTCCGCTGGACACAGCGGACATGGTCGGGGAGCACTGTGTGCCCGCTGGGGCACGAAACGCCCCCCCTGCGTTAGTACAGTCCAGGGCGACGTACCCGTACATCACTTTGCCTGTAGCTGCTGCCCGTCCACAGTACAATGCGAAAGGGCAGTCGGCAAGCAGTTAAAAGATAAGTTCACCTTTCAACAACAAATACACTATATTGCCAAAAGTATTGGGACGCCTGCCTACATGCACATGAACTTTCATGGCATCCCAGTCTTAGTCCGTAGGGTTCAATATTAAGTTGGTCCACCCTTTGCAGATATAACCGCTTCAACTCTTCTGGGAAGGCTGTCCACAAGGTTTAGGAGTGTCTATGGGAATGTTTGACCATTCTTCCAGAAGCGCATTTGTGAAGTCAGGCACTGATGTCAGACTAGAAGGCCTGGCTCGCAGTCTCTGCTCTAGTTCAGCCCAAAATTGTTCTATTTGGTTGAGGTCAGAACTTTGTACAGGCCAGTCAAGTTCCTCCACCCCAAACTCGCTCATCCATGTCTTTATGGACCTCGCTTTGTGCACTGGTGCACAGTCATGTTGGAACAGGAAGGGGCCATCCCTA